TTTCGATAATACCAAGGAGTAGAGAAGAAGATTTTTAAAGAAATAATGCACTTTCACTATATGATCTATATACCCCCCCCCCCCCCCCAGCACCAGAACCCCTGATCCCTGGGCCATGAATTTCACAATTGTGGTAAAGTCACCCTTGCTGATCATAACTCTGTATCTAATTTGTTTAAATAATACGCAGGAGTAGAGAAGAAGATTTTCAAAGAAATAATGCACTTTCACTATACGATCTATAAAGCCCCACCCTAGCACCAGAACCCCTGATCCTGGGGCCATGAATTTCACAATTTTGGTAGAGGGCTCAATGCTTATTACAATCGTGTCAACAGTTTGACTGCTTGATGTCCAGGAGTAAAGAAGAAGATTTTTAAAGATTGCATTAATTTTGATGGTTTTAGCCCCACCCCTCAGGCCCCAGGGGGGCAGGGACCATGAAATTCAGAAATTTTGTTCCCCTTCACACATAGATGCCATATGCAAAAATTGGCTGAAATTGGTTCAGCGGTTTCAGAGAAGAAGTTGAAAATGTTCAAATGTTAACAACGACGGACGAAAACAGATAGCAATAGGTCACCTGAGTGACCCAGGTGACCTAAAAACTACATCATTTCCTGAACAACTCTTCACCGAGCATCAGTAGGATTGGACCAGAACTTGCTAAAGCTCTTTATGTATATTCCTCTATGTCTGGAATTCTTGCAGGTGTCCCATGAACAGTACTGATGCAGTATATTTATTTTTTTTTTCAGACTATCACGATAACAACATTATCATGTTACTACAGACCTTCTATCTTTCTCATTATCTTATCTTAATCAGATGCAACTTCCAAAGGTGTTTTGGGCATTTTCTGGATGGAGAAAAAGACAGTAAAGGTTGAGATTTACAAATAAATATTCCTCTAACTTGGTCAATAAACAAAAAAATAAATGTACACACTGCAATAATAACATGTACAGAAACAAATTAGGGCGTACCCTTTTCCTTTAGAAGAGAAATTTTGAATTTAGAAGAGATATGTTTGCAATATTTCCGCACGAAGTTGGTGTTGCTTGGAAACTAACAACATTGAGCAAGAGACTTAACAGCAGAAGTGAGGCAGTTGACAAGGTAAGTTGATGCAAGACTTCCTTTTTTGGTTACAGGTTGAAATTTGTGAAACATAACTGCAAAATAATTTTAAAAAACCATACTATTACCATTTTGTTTGCATGCATGCAAGTTATTTCTCTTTGGTAGATTTTTCATATTATGCTGATGGTAACCTAATCAACTGTGGAGTGGAGGAACCTCTTGATACTTGTAGAGTGATACCATTATTGTCGTGCAGGAAAGGTAAGCCATGCAGGGAGGATAGTTGTCATCATCACCACCAATTGTGATTCTTTGCTCCTGAGTATTAAAGCGGCTTGGACACAGTTTCGAAGTTAATATATTTTTCAGTATTTTTTGTATAATATCATGACTTATGTGATGGCATTTGAAATGGAAAAATTAATTACAAAAGCGTGTTTCGTACCTTTATTTTATTTACAAATTATTAAAACTACGAGTTTTGGGACGGGTCTGATTCACACGCATCCTAACACTTCCAGAAAAACAATTTCATTCTTAATATTGAAGTATACTGAAAATATCTCATTTCAGCCAATCAGGGAAAACCTTCTCTGTTTTGGGTTTAAATATACTCAGGTGACCATTATGGCCTATGTATATTTATGCCCCACATAGAAATAGCTAGGGCATAAAGTGTTGCGTACCTTTTCTCTCCATCATTCTTCATAGTTTATATTTTTAATGCCTTTTATTAGAACATTTATTACACGGCATAGCATTATTTAAAAAATTGATTTTGAGATTAAGTAAACATTTGTGTAAGCAATCTTTATATTGCTTTTTTATATTTTCAATAGGATCAAGTAAGGCAATGGAATCTGACGTGGCAGCCAATATGCTGAGAAGGCTGAAAGAGGGCGGTTTTGATATAAGTGCTATTCATGTGAAGACTCCACTACCACTGCAAGTTTTAAAACAGAATTCAATGAAATATATGGAGATATCGAACAGTATTCAAGCTCAAAAGTCCATTCAACATTACAAAATAGGAGCAGAGCAAACATGGACCTCTAAAACATCAGAGGTGGGATCAGGTGCCATGGAGGAGTGAGCATCCCCTGCCGACCGGTCACACCCGCAGTGTGCTCCTTGCCATGGTCGAAAAAACCGGAAAAATTCGTAGACAGTTCAGTGTATAATAACCTGACAATTAGTATAAAACACAACATTCAAAAATTACACCAGCACGATCCCCAGAGCATATTGGTCTTACTCGTCGAAAATTTATAGGTCTATAAATTAACAGTTAGAGTATTACAACGGTAAATTTGTAAGGGATATAAAAAAAATTTGATTGGCTATTTTTTGTAGAATGACTGTAATACAGCATTGTAAAGGATCCATGGAATGGTAAATAATCATACAAGAACCAATAAATAAATAAATAAAATTTAAATAAAATAAAATAAAATAAAAAGGTTCGGGGATCAACAAAATAGTACGTAGAAACTTGCATGTGTTAGTCAATACTATCTACACTCTATCACCATTACCAAACATTGCTTTAGCATGAAATATGAAGATAACGAACAGTATTCAATCTCGAAAGTCCAATTAAACGATACAAATTTGGAGCAGAGCAAACATGGACCTCACAATTTAGAGGTGGGATCAGGTGCCATGGAGGAGTGAGCATCTCCTACCGACCGGTCACACTCCCCGTGTGCTCCTTGTCATGATCGGGAAACAACGGAAAAATCCGTCGACAATTCAGTGTGTAAATAATGGCCTAACAATTAGTATGAAAAACGTCAGTCAGCATTTGACTCAATGATAAATTGTATTTGCAGACAAGGTCATCTTACGAAATGATGGCTTTAAACGAGACTGCTGATATTCTTGTTTCATCAACTTGTTTGTCAATAATTTACCTCGTTTTTACAAATTGTACATACGTAGATCATGCTCTTGTGAATCGAATCAACTGAGAGATATAAACCCCGTATGCAGGTGATGAATGTATATTCCTACATAACAAAGGGAAATTGACGATTGAAAAGTTAGTCATCACCTTTATCATAAAGCTTGGTTGTTAGATTACCATTAACGTCCTTTCAAGTATAATATCCAAATATGAAACAGATGTGTCAGACTCTGTGGTATCTTTTATCTCAAGCTCACCTGGATATATCGTATCGACATAAGAATGGAAATAACCATTGTTAATTGACAATTAATACGTCGTCGATATATCTAAATGTCGAGTTCAAGGTCACAGCAAGTGTTTTCTTCTTTTCACGTATGATTTGGACAAATTCTGCTTTATATGAATACAAAAAAAGGTCTGCTAATAACGGGGCGCAATTGGTACCTATGGGAATTCCAATCGATTGTTGAAAGACCTGGTCTCCAAAAACCACATAGATAATGTCAATCAGAAACTCAAGCATCTTTTAAATGTCAACTTCAGAGTACTTGTGTGTACAATCAGAATGTTTTTTTAACAAAATAATTCTGCAAATGACCAATGACAAGGTAAGTAAAGGATCAGTGCACTTAAGCTATGAGAGTTTGGTCCCGGTGTTCTGCCAAAAATAAATTTCCGAAATATATAAACTTTTTGAATCGGAATTATTAAACAATATCTTAAGAGCAGGATTTGATATATCATATCGCATGGAAATATTAAATAATGCCGAGCGACACTGGTTTTTGCGACGGGGGTCTAGCAATTTTGTCACATTTCTATTGTTATTCATATGCATACCAGTTTTCAACGACATTGTTTACATCGAGCCGAAACTTGTCCATTCGCCTCATTTGCACAGAATGTGTATTTTGATGTAAACCTACACATATCCAAAGGGCAATGATGGACAATTTGCGACTCATATGTAATTTTTTGAGAAATTCTCCAAACTTCGGTCGAGTTAGCTACTAAATTAGCAGTTCACCGAGTGTCAATCGTTTGATATTATTAATCACTTTACTCACGTGACATTCCACTGTTCGATATGCTTTCATTGTGTCTGTCAATCGAGGGCTGTACACACGGATATGTATTTAAGTACAAAATTTTACTATGTATAGACTTTTAATACAGTGAATCATAAGATTTGTCGAATCTTATAAAAACTGTATTAAGAATAGGCCAATGCTCTATTTCTTATACAAATCTTAAGTTACCTTTCATTTTTAAACCAATCAAAAGTACTCACATTGGGTCATCCTATTTTTATCATAACAAAAAAAGGCACAAGGTAAATAATGGTCGACTTTAGCAGTTAACATATGTTTTATGGGAGAGAGATCAAAAGTAGTAACTACATGTGATTATAAAAGTTGCTCAAATGCTGCAAAATCTATTCTAAAGAAGTTTTTATAACTTCTGGGGTCTTCTCTTTGCACCTCGTCTAGCGATGCATTATGTGCACAAAGTACATGTACGAGTGTTCCGCCGTTGTTTCCATTGTGATGGTCTTTTCAGTTTTAATGCAGTGCATAATAGTATAACAGATACTGCTGACGGAACCTCGTTTTCCATTATTGAGAGAGAGAGAGAAAAATATTGCGAGGGAAACACGTAGAAAATACCTTAAGTCTATTAACAATCTAATAAGACATATATAAGCATGGATACAGGAAAGTATAATAATACAAATATACTACTTGCATAATATTACAAATCTCGCCGTATGTACCGGCTTCAAAATATTGAAGAAATTTGCGAAAATTTTATTAGGGTCTTAAAGTTTACCTTGTCTTTTTTCACTAAATTGTGTTTTTCGTTTGGAATTTTGAAGGAAATTATGGTATTGCCAGTGCAAATCAGGCGCATGATTAGCAGGTAGCTGCACTAGCTCATGTCGCCTCCGTATTAGTCTGCAGGCATCTACAGACACGTCCCTAAACACTAGTAACCTTGTACGGTACACGTTCGGCCATGATAGTTTTCAGGACTTCTGAGAACTCCATTGGTTCCTCCAAAGACACGTCTTCAAGATCACATGCCCGCAAGCAAAAGGTTGCCATCTTCAGCGGATCCATTTTTGATTCCTTGGCCAGTTTCACCAGACAATGGTTCTCGTGTACAAATTTCGTTCTCAGAGAATATTGCTTTTTACAAAAGTCACAGGACCGGCAATCTCCATTTTCTGCTATATACTTATCAATGCGTTTTTTGACAATTGCTCCGTCCTTTAAAAAGTGTCTAAAGTTTATCTCATCATTGCATAGAATATCCTCACTGCTCCCATAGTCATCCATTTTCTTGTTTTATAAAGAATGATGATAAATTTTAGTCTCTTCTCCTTATAAAGATCGCCAGACGGCTTTGGGAGTGGTTGATGACTCTCAACTGATGTTAGAATTTAGGAAAGTGGCTTCAGATGGACTAAATGGAAATTGACCTCAGACGAACCAATTATTATGCGACCCAGACGGCTGTATGATGGGATGGGTGACCCAAGACGGATGACCTCAAACGGACCCACATATCAGGGCGACACGGTTATCAACAGTTTGATAAGACGTCGAAGAGATAAGACGTGTTTTTCAGAGCTCTTATCTACACTCAGGTGAATAGTTAAAATGATAAAGAAATGATGGATCTCAGTGCAAATGTTAGTCTTTTTACATCAATTCTGAATTCATTTAATGGATTATCACAATCATTTATTGGTACAAACAAGGAACAGGACTTAACTCCATCAGTGAGTATACCAGACTTTCTTCATGTTAAACTTAACGCAGAAAGTGTGACCATAAACTATGATGGCCAGCAGCATGAATTTATGTCAACTGTGCTACAGAAGATGCTTCTTTTTCATGGAGATAATAATAGAAATGGTTGCATCTATAAATCGATGTGTGACTCAGTAACTGTAACAATTTACAGAAGCACAAATACAATTCTCATTCAAGGGACTGGTGCATTTGAATGGTATAGGAATGATTTTCTAGATGAAGTCAAGAGTCAAGTAGATGTAAGCCAAACTGACTCTCTAACAGATTGCAAGATTATTGTCAGTCAACCCAACTGTACATCGACCCCGAGACCCTCTAAACAGCTAAATGAATCAAATGTGGAGACAACTTGTCACCAATGTAGCAGCTCCGAAAATGTGAAACTTCTTTCTGACACTGTAAAAATGCTGACACAAGAAGTAAATCTCCTAAAGAAGCAGCTCCTGGAAGCACAACAAACAAAAGCCTGTACCAACGCTTCCACACAAACTCCGGGAATATAATTGAAACAGAAGGGAACTTCAACTGAAGGACTTTCCATTAAAACTGGAATATCGAGACACAGCCAATATTCTTTTAGTGTCGACAAAAAAGACACCAGTACATCAACAGATATAGATGCCAGTTCTGTATGGAAAAACTTACAACCCACACAGAAAACCAAAATGGTTGCGACAAAGGACAACCCTAACTTACACCCTTCCAGAGAGAGTCAGCCTATATCAACTCCTAAAGAACGAGGCAGCTTCACAAGGATTTCTCCATCTATTTCAGCAAGAGAAGGAAAGTAAAAAACTACCCTGGTCATCGGAAGTTCTATTCTTCAACGAATCAAAACCCGAGGCTTAGATTCCAGTGTGAATGTTAGTATTAATCGTGGTGCTAGCATTTCACACATCCGCACAAAACTACAGAGATGTGATGTATCCTCCATCAAAAATGTCATCATCCAGGCTGGTGGTAATGATGTAGCTAACTTGCGCAACATCGATGCGATTCAGGATGATTTCATTGAAATAATTGCAGATCTCAAGAAGAGAAATCGTACAATTTCAGTGTTTCTATCGGAAGTGATTCCAAGATGTGATGCGGATGTTACTGAAGTAAATGAGTGCATAAAATATATTTGTGAGGAATATGGTGCTACACTTATCGAGACCAGCAAATCATTCAAGCACTGGAATTCCCCTTCCTTTTGGAGAGATGGCATTCACTTGGCCGATCGTGGTACTGCTTATCTTCTTAAGCTGTACAACACACATGTAAAAATTCTTAAACAACAACGACCCTCATCTGTGCAGACATGCTATTATTGTGGAGAGCAAGGTCATTCCTCGCGTAACTGCCGACATGGAAACAAAGTTGTTTGTTGGTACTGTGGTGATCAAGGTCACAAGCAGAAGTTCTGTACCAAATAGGATCGCGGCAATGAAAGTTGTGCCGATAATACGAAAAACTGTCCAATTATCAATGTCAATAATTATTTTGATCCTTTAAATAATCTCTGTTTTGACTGTAATGAACCAATTTGCAGATGTCCTTTATCTAATAATTACTCAAATGATTTAAATTTTACATCTGAACATGTAGATGCATGTATAAATAAGAAAAACACTTTTTCAAATTTTAAACAAAACCCTACAATTTCTCCTCCAGTGCCAAATACTCAAAATATGAAGAAAAACAAAATATATGTAAATCAAATATTGTTTTAATGAAAAAGGGTCTACATTTTGTCAATTTGAATGTGTGTCACATTTTACCAAAATTAGATGAATTGGTTTTGTATTTACAAGATCAGCATTACGTTGACATATTTTCTTTATGTGAAACCTTTCTAGATGAAAATATTAATGATTGTGTTATAAATATAAAAGGATATTCTTTTGAAAGAAAAGACAGAGTAGGAAGGGGTGGTGGTGGACTTGTTACATATATCTCAAATGATCTGAAGTATAAACGCCGTAAGGATTTAGAAATTAGCAATATTGAGACAATGTGGCTTGAAATTAATCTTAGAAATTCTAAGCCTATACTTTATTGTTCAGTTTACCGTCCACCATCTGTCCCCTCCTGCTGGGTTGATGATTTTGTAAGAGAGTTACAGTGTGCTACCTGCTGTGATGACCAGGAAGTGATTATTGCAGGTGATTTCAATATCGATATGCTCAAAGACCGCCCGCGGAGTTGGTCATCTGCAATTGTAGATTTTGGATTAACACAATTAATTAACACCCCAACAAGAATTACCAATAGCTCTAAAACTCGCATTGACCATTTCTACACTACGCACCCTGCTAACATATGTGAAATAGCAGTACCCCCTTAGCAATGTCTGATCATTATTCAATATGTGCCACACGAAGCTCTAACAGCATGAAACGTAAAAACAAACATATTGAAATACAATATCGTGATTTTAAAAATTTTAATGAAACAGAATTTTTGCTTGATTTAAACAATGCAAATTTTGATGAATTAATCCTACTGCATGATCCAAATGACATTTTAAACTGTTTCTATGATATTTTCAATGCTATAACTAATAAGCATGCAAAAGTTAAAACAATGCGTGTTAAATCAGAATTTAGCACTAAATGGTCAACTCCAGAAATAAATGATGCTAGGAATTTACGAGATCAATACCATAAACAGGGAGACATGGAAAATTTTAGATTTTGGAGGAACAAAGTCACAATTTTAATTAATGATGCAAAATCTACATATTATAAGAAAGTAATTGAAAATAGTTCTACGTCAAAAGAAATGTGGGGTCACTTAAATCAGCTGGCCTCAAAATCAGACAAAAACTCATCCCCTTCCAATATAACATATAACGGGTTAGATCTTGATAATTTACAGGATATTGCAAATGCTTTTAATGAACATTTTGCACAAATTCCAAGAAAATTATTAAACAATCTTTCATTTACTACTTTTGATTCAGAAAAATTGAAAAGATACACTGAGGCAAAACTTGGAGATCAAGACTTTTTTGAAATTCCTTTGATTAATGAAGAAAAAGTATTTAATATATTAAAGAGTCTAGATGTAAACAAATCTGCTGGCATAGACTTTCTTGGACCTAGATTGCTTAAACTTTCAGCTAGTATAATATCAAAACCTCTAACACATCTAATAAATTCTAGCATAATCAAGGGGTCTTTTCCTTCACAGCTAAAAGTCGCAAAAGTAACTCCTCTATTTAAAAAGGGTGATAAATCAGACCCAGGAAACTATCGCCCAATTTCAATTTTACCAACTATATCGAAAGTTTTAGAAAAGCATGTAGCAGAAAATATACGCATCTTTACTTCTCACTTCGATTTATTAATGAAAGCACAGTCAGGACTTTTTTGAAATTCCTTTGATTAATGAAGAAAAAGTATTTAATATATTAAAGAGTCTAGATGTAAACAAATCTGCTGGCATAGACTCTCTTGGACCTAGATTGCTTAAACTTTCAGCTAGTATAATATCAAAACCTCTAACACATCTAATAAATTCTAGCATAATCAAGGGGTCTTTTCCTTCACAGCTAAAAGTCGCAAAAGTAACTCCTCTATTTAAAAAGGGTGATAAATCAGACCCAGGAAACTATCGCCCAATTTCAATTTTACCAACTATATCGAAAGTTTTAGAAAAGCATGTAGCAGAAAATATACGCATCACTTCGATTTATTAATGAAAGCACAGTCAGGATTTAGAGAATTTCACTCATGCCAGACAGCTCTCACAAAACTAACTGATAATTGGCTGCATGCAATAGATCAAGGAAATTTCATTGGCATTACTTACTTGGATTTTAGCAAAGCATTCGATCTTGTTAATCATGATATACTAATTAGAAAACTTATATGCTATCACTTTGATCCAATATCAATTAAATGGTTTCAATCATATTTATATCATCGAACTCAAAGTGTTAAAATAGGTGCATACACATCTGAATCACTGCCAGTCACAGCAGGTGTGCCACAGGGCTCTATATTAGGCCCTTTATTATTTCTATTGTACATTAATGATTTACCATTGTCTGTTGAACATTGTAATATTGATATGTTTGCTGATGACACTACAATGCATTTTCATGGTAACAATATTTCACGTATTGAAACAACTCTTAATCATGACCTCTATCAAATACAAAACTGGTGTCAACAAAATCAGATGTTTTTGAATACCGATAAAACAAAGTGTATGTTAATGGGCACACAACAAAAGAAATCAAAATTAGAAAACACTAGTCTTCATTTACAACTTTCCGGTCATCCCCTTGAAAATGTGGAAATGCAGAAATTATTAGGTGTTCACATTGATCATACTCTTCAATATACTTGTCATGTAGATGCAGTTTGCAAAACTCTTACATATAAATTATTTACTTTACGAAAAATTAAAAAGTTTCTTCCACTGCATACTAGAAAACTATTTTATAACGCTTTTATTTTACCATCAATTTTATATTGTTTATCTATTTGGGGTAACTCTCCTCAAACGCACATCGACAGAATCTACAG